AACAGCAGCCGTGCGCGACGCGCTCGTCACTTCCGGCTCCTAAGAAGAAGTTCCGTATCTCGTCGGTCCTCGAGATACTCAATCGGCATCGCGTTGATTAACCGCACGGTCGAATCGCGAGTATCGGCATTAGGAGCGTGAGCGAGTGAAATCCGGAGGACTCCAGCAGCCGGGAAGCAGAACGCCGGCAGCGATACGTCACGTTTCCAGGTATGTGGAATCATTTATTATGCGGGAGGTCTCCCTATATAACAAGAGCGGACGTTTGACGAATAAGAAGAAGGGAATAAGAAGTCGGAATTTCGCGCTCGGCATTCACAATCCGTCATCATCCGACTGGTACATCCGACATGACTTTATGAATCTGCAATTACTCTCGTCAATCTCTGTCTATCTCTGCCTATCTATTTATTGCGTTGCTGTATACAAAAGATACTGATCCAGACAGAGATGGATAACGGTCCACGAACGCGGATCTCTAATTCATCATCGTGTTCTCGATCAAACATTCTGAATAATTCCCAATCGTATGAGTATACCCGTCTTGTGTAGAATATTCAACGTCATACCTTCTTCTTAGACTGCGACCTTTATTGTTTTCGGTCAGCGCTTCTTTCAAGTCTGTTTACTCTCGTTACGAGATCTAAATTTTAATGTCCATTCGTAAAAGAGTATTTTCGAGAGCACACGACTGTTGTCACCGCTTCTTGTTGTCATTTTTTTTTTCGTCAGCTCTTTCAAGAGCTCCTATCTAGACTTTCAATGTCAATGAAGAAAAGAAATCGTAGCGAATATTCTCCACTCATCCCGACCAAACATTCTTTCTCAACCGCAGCTTACCAACTAAGAACGCTAAATGTTTGTTCCAGACGTTGCGGGAAGCAAGTCCGGCGGACGCGGATGCCACCACCGGAGGATCCGGTTCGGGCGGAGCAGGGTCGGCCGGAAGGTAAAGTTCACAAGTTTCCTACACATCTGTGTTCAACTCTTTACAATCTTTGCCTCTGCAACTTGTTCCTCATCAGCTCTCTTGAAAGCTTCATGTCCCATTTAAATTTTCAATGTTGGAACAAAAATATTGAGATAAAAATCCCATATCAAAATATTTCCGTATTTTCGATTCGTCTCGAACAAAGATATTCTCTCACTACTGCAGATTACCAGCTACTTTTCTGTTTCAGTTATTGCGGAAAGCAACAACAATCCGGCAGATGCGGATGCCGCACCGGAGGATCCGGTTCGGGCCAAGCAGAGTCGGTCGGAAGGTAAAGTTTACAAGTTTCCTACACATTTGTGTTCAACCCTTTACGATCTTTGCCTTTGTAACTTGTTCCTCGTCAGCTCTCTTGAAAGCTTCAAGTTTCCCATTTAAATTTTCAATGTTGGAACAAAAATATTGAGATAAAAATCCCATATCAAAACATTTCCGTGTTTTCGATTCGTCTCGATCAAAGATATTCTCTCTCTACCGCAGGTTATCAACCGGGAAAATTATTTTCCTGTTTCAGTTGTTGCGGAAAGCAACGGCAATCCGGCGGACGCGGATGCCGCACCGGAGGATTCGGTTCGGGCCAAGCAGAGTCGGCTTGAAGGTAAGTTTTACTAGTTTACCATAGTCCTCTGTTTGACTCTTGGCGATCTGGGACAGCTGGGATATAATTTCCGGCTCGACTTGAATTACGATCGCAGAGGGTAAACTACTCTTTTACACGCCCGCACTCGTTGGTCTGATCTGATAAGCGAATGTGAATTTTTTGTTACAGAGTTGAAGCGGAACGTGGCCGGCTCTGACTGCAAGTCGTTTCGGTGAGTCAAAATAAAAAGAGAAACAAAATTCTGCATGACGGATGTGGGACTAAAAAATATCGTTCGAGTCAATGCGAATTGCAAATAGATTTTGCATGTGTGTGTTTGTGACGTTGAATAAAATACATTGCTCGAAACAATCAGGGGATTATTTGATCGATAGCCTGCATTACATACGGGATTTAAAATAGCGAATGATTCTCATTTGATGTTGATTTGAATAAGAGATATTCATGTCTACAAACGCGATACCGTCATCAGCTGCTTTATTTTCATTTTTCAAGCGGACCGCGGAATTATTTAACGACAATTATTCGACGACATTGCCCGTGTAAAATATATTCATACGCATAAATGCCGATACCGTTGGCTACTTTTCTTTTATTTCCAAAACAGGCTGTAGTGAATTATTTGGCAATATTGCCATTCGTCACGATCGTCTCTATTGTCTCGAGTGGCGTATAATACGCGCAGAAATTGCGCCAACGCACGCCGAGCTTAAGATATCCTCGCTCTCGCGCCTTTGAATATCGCGCCTTTGAATATCGCGACCGCGATTATCAATATACGCGTTTTTACCTTACTTTGTTAGTGCTGCTAACGAAGAAAGCTTAAGTTCTCATTTCGCCAAAGTATCGCGAACGTAAACTTCGTCGTGACAGAACTATCATGCGTGAAAACTTTGCCCCGCTCTCTCTCTCTCTCTCTCTCTCTCTCTTTGCACTCCCTCGGAGTGACCAGTTTCTGATCTTTCTAATCTTTCCTCGCATGCATTCGCGATGTATTCTCGTAGATATCGATATTTCCGCATTTTCGCGACTTTTTTTTCAGACGCGATCGCGAAAAGCGCCGTACAAATCCGTTGGACGAGTTGATAGATTTTCACACGGTTCTTGCTCATCGCCGATCAAGTTTACAGAGTCCGTTTCGCAGCGCGTGAAAGGTTTCCACCTTGTGCGATGTCGACGTAAAACGTTCGTTAATTGACGCAAATATCGTCACTCTAATACTCAAGTAGCGACCGCGTCGTGGAAGTATGGCGAAAGTGTAGCAATCAACGTGGGACGCGCTGCAAGATGGATGCTGCGCGACATGGAGAGCGGCAACGGACATGGGCGAACATTGGTGGATCTGGTTGGATGCAACGGAACATCATCAATATCATCATCGGTGGGTGTTTGACTCAATGCTCGCAGAGAGCTTTTTTATTATTACATTGTGCATGCCGCAAATGATTGCATTGACTTTTGTAACGACAAATATATTTCATGAATCATTGCCATATATTGTTGCCATATATTATTGCCGTATATTGTTGCTATATATTATTGCCACATATTGCCATATATTATCACCATACATTATGGCCACTTGAAATCGCGCGAACAATCGAGAAAACTGGATTCGCCGATAATCGCAAAGGCGCGCGGCAGACGTCACGGACGGATGACAGCAGCCCGTCGTCTCAGGGCTGCAATTTAACTTTAAACCGCAGCGGCCTCCGGTCGCAGGAAACTTTCTATCGCGGACTAACCCCTCGAGCGGAATGTTCCCGAGACGCGCTCTTGACATAAACGCTGGTTATAAGCGAACTTGCCTCGTCGCGGTATCGCGGTTGTCGCGGAAACGGAAGAAGGAAGAAAGGAGTTAAACATCCGCACCGTTGGGAAAAGAGGGGCGATAGCGTCCCTTCGCGAGCAGAATGTTAGGCCCTTGCGAACGCGAGCGTTAAATTCCACCGCGGCTGCGAACGTCCCCCGACTGGTTTCTTCGCGGGAACTGAATCTTCACATCACTCGCGCTTGATCGTGCGTTGAGACTCTATCGAGGGTGGGAGATTGAAGCGGGAGTTGTTGATGATATAAGCGTGACAAAGTAGTGGCGCATTTTATGATCGCTCTTTAAGATGCGGGCGCTTCTTTCGTCGGTGATAAAGATGAGAAGAAATCAAAGCCTACTGCCGGTGAGATCGTAAAAACCGCATAGATTTTCCTTCTGCTCGCGCGGCTGTTTAATCCGTATTACGAACATTTTTGCGAATAAGTATGGGGAAAGTGACATCCGCGGATAGATTGGATCGTCTGTGCTTGTATAACTCACAATTTCTTGTAAGGGGGAGTAGAGTGAGCAAGAAGAGTGTGCACGCTTTGCCGTTATCGTCATCAGGATGGATGTAGTGTGCACACATTTTCTCAGAGGGCGCGTCGGAATTTTCGGCAGAAAAAGCGTCCCAGCGTAATCGGTGGCCCTCTCAGATGGCCGCTCTCAGGTTTCTCTCTGACATTACCTCGTCGGTTGTCGAAATGTTGCTTAGCAGCTAAACCAGGGATCAATCGACGATGACGCGCTTGTCGTTTGCGTAATTCAGAATGATTTTTGCACGATCGCAGCCTCTCGCTTTTCACTGCACTTTATTTGACCGGACGGGACTATTCTCAGACGTTATGTTCGTTGAAAGTTCATTTGGCGTCAGCGACTGATAATTTCAGTCGACACGCACATGTATGTAAATTTTTCCGATTAAAGAGTGGAAGTAGACCTCATGTAGAAAAGGATGCACTCTGTCCATGCGCGTGCCATTTCTAGGTTCCGCTATTTCAAGCGCGCTAGTGTGTATCGCGCGAAGTTACATCGAAACGTCGTCGGTACGTTATCCGTTAAACAGCCGATAACTTTCTTTCGCATCGGCATGGCGTCGGATAGAATACGCTGCGCAATCTTCGTCCTTTCTCTGAAGCGAATTAAACGCCCGTACAAATGTCGGGAGTGCTGAATCAAGTGTCGGGAGATTGTCGCGTTAATTAGTAATATCGTAAAATTATTTTTCGTTGGTAGCGTCTCGCCTATGTTTTTTGTTGGAGTTGTGAAGTAGCAGTTGGCCAGCCAGCCGTTGAAGCCAGCAGGACTTTTTCGCTATACTGGGCTTGACGTAATGTTTGTAAATCAGATTTTTTGAGAATCTTCGCAGTAGAAATAAGCGTGAATGAATAACGTGTTATTTTCGATGATGTTATATGCACGCACGCACCGTATATGTATATATAACGGCTCTTATATCTTAAAATATATATATGATTTATTATAGACGTTGGAAGCGTATACAGTGTTAGTGTCAATACAGAAAAATGATTCTCGCATACTCAATAATAAATTAAAACTGTAATGATGATATATATATATATATATATATATATATAATCGATTGAACACACATCACATATCGGAAGGAGATATAGTAGCACAATATTCCCCTAGAATAAGAGTACGCTCTAGCAATATTGCATTGAGATACATTAATAGCCATAAGTAAAACGATGGGCGCAGCTATGAAAAAATGAAATCGTGTGTCGTATGCAACGATTAATGCTATAATAAATAATAATGAATCTATACCGTTAATTATGTATAAAGATATCGGAAGGACTATATCGATGCGCGACTGGCGACCCTTCCCTCGATTTATAAAGCACAAAAGAAAAGGAACAAATAACGTTTTAAAATTTACCACGAACGATTATTTGTCAAATTTAACATATAATATCGATTCGTGATCATTATAATAGTACGGATCGTTTTGTAATCACGCCAACAATCAAGAAAGGGTCGGCAACCGTGGCAATATTATTATTATATAGAAATACAGTAATAATAGCAGTAACAATACGATAACAATTCTAATTGCGACACAGGCAACATGCTCATTTCCCTCAAGCACGTTTCCCTTCGTGGGAAGAACATTCTCGATATATTTCCGCTCATCGAAATCAAATATCCTCGAATTCGGGCAAATTATTCTCTATCATATCGCTCGCGTCACGACGAAGTGTCTGGACTCGTCGCAACCGGTACAGTGAATATTCAATCGATTAGCGAAATTGCAGCTAGCTCTCCAAGCGACGGAATACTTGAAAACTCATGACAAATGAATATATAGTAATCGTCGGTTCTCGATTCTTAGAGTTGCAAGTTAAATTATCTTTTCTATTGATCTCTCTCTCTCTCTCTCTCTCTCTCTCTCTCTCTCTCTCTCTCTCTCTCCCCCCCTCTTCTTCTCCTTTTTCTTTTTTCTCTCGTGTCACCTTGTCGAATCGTAGCTAGGTTGCTAGGACCAAGCTTAGTAGAGATAATTTTTCGGCTCTTCTGTCGGCTGACCGCATACTCCATGGTACTTTTTTGTGACGAGACTTCTGCTGCGGCAGTTCTCGATCTCTAGGAAACACTCGTTACTGTACGTCATACCGTCGGTACCGCATACAGGGTCATAATAAGGTGGGCAGATCTTCTGGCAGCCACGAAACAAGAAACCCTGGACACATCTCTTCATGGGCACCACGTACACGTGTTTCCTGTGAAGACGGAGAAAGAGAGAGTCAACATTTTTCTGTCCATACCTGATAGACAATACTCGGATACATACGCGTACTCGTCACGTCATTATGATATATATATGTGTGTGTGTGTGTGTGTGTGTGTGTGAGTTGTAACTAACGTTCTTCTCTCCGCTTTGTTCGTTAGGAACAAAGTACGTTGTACAAGTGTTTGAGAGTCGATGTTTATTGATTTGTCATATTACATTTGATCTTTCACCCGTGGTTCGTAGGCGTGTATACGTCTCAAGCGTCGATTTAGCGTTAGAAAGCGGTCGAAAATAAAAAATAATTTCTTGGGGAGGAAATAGGTCGCGCGCTCGGAAAGGCATCGCCAATTTCTACTTTCGAGATTGTGCGATTGTGTTCAATTATACTCGTTCTCCAAAGTAGGATACTTTCCTCTCGTGTGTTTGAATAGCGGCTCGCAAACATCCACAACGGTCGCGCGATAGAAGCGGTTTATTATTTCCGTAAAGAAGAGATGCAACGGAACAGTTCTCCAGCTTGTGCTGAATCGCGCAGACTTTCATCAAACACGCGCGTGACACTAACTCGGATTAACCGTTTCTCGAGGACCAGTTTCTTCAGTTAGGCTATCCTCTCTTTGTGCGACTTCGTGTATCAATGCGCGATCGGACGTAATGAAAGTCCCGGAAAGTATTATAATCCAAAAGAGGCACAATCGCGGTCAGTGGAATTATACGCTCAACAGCGAAATGCACCGTTCTCTAGATGCTTCAGAATAAGTCAATTCGAACGCTAATAATTGACCTTGCTACTTCCTTACAACGAGACACTTAAATTCTATCCGATATCCCGCGCAGAGCGCAGTAGTAGCTGTTCATGTTATACGAGAGGAAGAAAAGGCACTCGTATGCATACCATGGAGAGTGCACAACGATTAAAGTAAGAATTGATAGCTCATAGCTCCAAGGTGATCCAGTTACTTCCGTCGATTGTAAAAGATTCAATGCGACTGCGGCGGTTCGAAAGTTAGCTTACACCGTTCACCGTTCAATCTCTCACCGAGTATTTGCACAGCAAATGTAAGCATAATGTAACTTCATTCCGAGTGATCAACGAGAGACGAGATTAACTGGCTTGGCGTATTTTGCAAGCATGCAATGAAACGAAAATTTTGAGTGCACTTTTCTCAAGATAATACTACACTCATCTCATACACTTTTCGTGCTCGCTTCATGAAATGAAAAAGTTTATTTATATTTATTTATCTGAAAAAGCCCCGCCAAGATTAGATCGAGTCCCACGAGAGTTTCGCGAAAATCATGAGGGGCGGAGAAGAGGTTTGATTTAATAAAAGTGCCGATTGATTGCGTATGAAACAAAAGCAACCGCGTAACCGCGCCACGCTTCAATGAAACGTGCAAACACAATGCTTCGCGGTCAGGCGGGCTTACCCGCAATTGTCCCTCTTCATCTCGCATTCGTTGCGATAGAGCTTGTTGTCGGAGCCGCAAACAAACTGACGCTCTCCGGTGCAGATTTGGTTGCAAAGCGCGGTGGTGCGACAATGTTGTGCCGGAACTTGAACCACCCTCTGGCCGCAAGTCTCACGCCGCAGATGGCAGAGGGATCTAAAATGCATACGAGTGCACACACATATATATAAGTACGCATCCGCTAACACGGAGCCCGCAAAGACGGAGGAGCGGGAACAGTCCGCCCGCTATTTAGTCCTTGAACGTTGAATCACCCTCGTTACGCCGCGCTGTATACAACTTGAGTTCCAACGTCTCCGGTCCCGATTTCTTTTCTTTTTCTTTAACTTTTATTTCTCTTTGTTACTTTATATTTTAGACCTCACCCGCACGTCTCTTTTCTTTTCCTCTCTCTCTCTCTCTCTCTCTCTCTCTCTCTCTCTTTTTCTTTTTCAATATTGCGACTGTAGAGATAGCAGAAGAGAATAAAATCGTACGTGAGATGAACATGTCGCGGTCAAGCGCATCAAGTCGTCGTCTCGAACGGAAACATACCTTTACCTATATTTTGATGAAAACTCCTTGATGAAATTTAAATCGATAAATTACGCTTTGTCTCGCTCGAATCGAGAGTCAGCGGATACGAGTAACGTTTGGATTGGAGAGTAACGGGGAATAGCGGGTTTCAGAAACGACTCGCGCGGCCTCCTGTTAGGCAGCTTTCTCTCTAACGAACGATCGTTCGAGATTCACGCGCCCTTAAAACCTTCGGCACCGGACGTTCCGGAATCCAAATAACTCTCTTAATCACCGATAAACGTTGCCGTCGCTGCCACAAACTGGTTCCTCGGGTACTTGGGCGCAGTCTTCGGGGCACTGTTCGATCTCCTTCAAGGTCGTGCACTCGCCGACGTGAGCCAATTGGATGCCCTTTCTGAAATAGAATCAGAGTCGAGAAGGATTAGGCAATTTTGTCGATCGATATCGATTGTTCGATCGATTGAGTGACGTGGCCGAAGAATCGCAGTCACGACCTGCGGGGAGGGAGTGTCTGCGTCTCTTCGAGGATGCGTCAACATAGCCCGCGTGCTATCCCATTCCGCGTGATATCCGAGAGTTACATTAGAGTTAGTCATGTTAACTGTATAAATAAACGTAACTTACAAGCAAACTGCCACGTTCAAGTGGCACTGGTTCGGATATGTATTCGCGTCGCTACCACAAACCGGATCCACTTCGCTTCCGCATCTCTGTTGTTGCTTCGTGCATTTTGTTAGCCGGGATCGACACTTCTCAAAGTCCACCGCCGTTACCTTTCTTCTCGCATGCCTGTCGATTAACTTTGGCTTTAGCTTGCTTAAAGATTTACAACAACAACAACAACAACCGACAATCGGTTATTAACGTGCGCGCGCGCGTAGCTTTCCCAGTGAGTTTCCCAGTGAGAGAGCGAGTTCCGCGTTTATTTGTCTCGTATATATAATGTCGAGACTTGGTGGAACGGGTGTCCGTGTTGCGCGAGCGCTGTAGCGCACGACAACTGACTAAACGATAAATATACGTACCCGCAGTTTAGCATTTGCATCTCGCATTCATTCCTGTATATACTTCCATCCGATCCGCATACCGACACTTCCGGCTCGCTTTCGCAGTCCAAGGGACACGTGTTCGATTGGCCTCCGGATGTCCGTTCTCGCGACACGCAGAACGACATCGGTACCTCGAAGACATGTTTGCTGAAAAGCAGCATGGTTGGACGAATAGGTCGATTAGAGATTCGAGGTACCAGGTTCCCATGGTATAAACCATAAATCATGTGATCAGAGATAGGCTAGGAAAAAGAATACAACAGAGGGAGGGAGGGAGGGACAGGCGGGTAAAAGCAGTGTAGGATACGGACGATGAATCAGAGATATCTGCGGGAGACGCGCGGTTGGGCCGCGCGTTTATTCAATTTCAATTTCATAGCAAATCGCGCGCGCGCACGATATTCGTGCATAAATCCCCTCGCGAAAAGAAGCGACGAGGGATTAGCTTGATCGAGAGGCAAACTCGAGAGGCAGAGCTCTCGAGTGTTCTTGAAGTTGCGCGTAGGGTTTATAACGAAGAGCACGGGGCAGCGATTCATGAATGATTAAGTGCACGAATAGGGCGGCGAGAGGAAAAAAGAGAAAAAGATGGGGGAACGGGGGGGGGATCTCGAGAGAGATTTTCGCCAAGTGGATCCCGCTCGCTGTGGGCTAAGCAGAACACCACGACCACGACGATTCCTAGTCGTAGGTTCTGTCCCAGCCTGCGCGCGGACTGCGGACTTACCCACAGTTCTTCGCTCGCATTTTGCAGGTGTTGGAGTACAAAATGCCGTCGCTACCGCAAGCAGGCTTGGCACCACGCCAACATGATTCGCGACAATGTCTTGTGGTCTGGCAATGCTTCTTATTCGTACGCACGACGCCTTGGCTGCAAACGGGAAAGTCAAAGAAAAAAGTCAAAAGTGGTTTTGCGGCGAAGTGACTAGTTTTATGTTCGGAATCAGCGAATCAGCCCCTCTCCTGCCACCTGCGCACTGTGGCCACCATGCGCCACAGTGCGCAGAAGAGTTATACATTTTACGAGGAGAGAGAGAGAGAGAGAGAGAGAGAGATAGAGAGATAGAGAGATAGAGAGATAGAGAGATAGAGAGATAGAGAGATAGAGAGATAGAGAGATAGAGAGATAGAGAGATAGAGAGATAGATAGAGAGATAGAGAGATAGAGAGAGAGCAGCGACTCAGCAGCAACTCTGTGTGCGAAACTCTCTCACTATTCGCGCAGACTCGGAAAGATATATTTCTTCATTTTCATATAAGAGGAAGGGTTGGCAAATAAATAAATTAATAAATCGAATTTCCCGTTGTCCGCGGACTGAACGAGCGATTCGAGCGTGGCTGCTCGCAAGACAAGAGAGTCTGGCAAAAGTCTGGCTGTTGCGTCGCGTAGCTGTTTCTCGGCGGCAGTCGTCGATGTCGTTTGTTCGTTTGTTCCTTCGTACCCGCAAGTGAGCAGCTTCATCTGACACGTAGACTTGTAGACGTTTCCATCGCTTCCGCAAACCGGTCCGTCGAGCGGCGCGAAATCGCACGAAACCGGGCAATTCTCCCTGTGGGCCGAAATATTGTTGCACGGCCCGAGATGGGACAGCTCGATCCCGACCCGGCAGATCTCCACCCTGAGCATGCACTTGTTCAGGTAGGTACGCCCATCGGTGCCGCATACCGGATCTTGATCGCCTGGACAGCGATGCTCGCACTTGCTACCGGATGACCTCAGGCAAGCCGTCTTCTCCGTGGCCACGGTAACGCCTAAACGAACGCATACGGACGAAATGATGAGAGATACGCGGGTAGATTTCGCGCGAGTCATCGAGCGAAACGAGATCTCTCTCTCTCTCTCTCTCTCTCTCTCTCTCTCTCTCTCTCTCTCTCTCTCTCTCTCTCTCTCTCTCTCTCGAGGTGTACGACCTCGTTGTCCAACGGCGAACAAATCACCCCGCGCGCTCTACAACACCCAAGTCCCGTCCGTTTCGACGCTCTAGGAAACCGAGGCGCGCGCGCGCGATTCGTTTCGCAGCGCGAATAATTGATCGCGGCCGTCCGTTTTACAAATGAGCGAATCCTCGTTACCGCTTAGACTTCCATCCAGCGACTAGCTAGATAGACAGGCAGCGAGGGAGGGAGAGAGACAGAGAAAGAGGAGAGAGGGGGGAGGGGCGGCGGCGGCGGCGGAATATGACAGCGGAATCTCTTCATCGTGATCGTCCGCGCACAGCGCGGTAATATCGCGTAAGCCCGACGAATAAAGGTCGCTTTCGTCGTTTCCGCGATTGTAATTGAAGCGCGCCCGCTGCGCCGCTTGTATCTCTCGACAAACCGCTATTAACGCGACCACTGCGCTATTCTTACGGTCGGTTAATATACCGCGAAGCGGTATGGCGAAATCATACGGGCTTGTATACAGCGTGATATACATTCTAGATCAGCCAGTCTCGAAAGAAAACAGAAAAAAGGAAAAGGAGAAGGAAATCCGTAATTTCGCGTAATCAGAGCGTATTCTGCACGGCACGCACGGCTGTGTGTGAGTGTGTACGATAGCTAGTTATAATTAAAAGCGCCCCTTACCCTTTCCGCACATCTTCTTCCGCATTTCGCATTGCGACGCGTAAATGACACCGTCGCTGCCGCAAACGGGCTCGCCGCTCGGTGGACATATCCTGGGACACGCTGCCCATACGTAATCTGTATCAACAAAAGAGAAAAAGATACAGTAACGACGAAATTAACGATACAATGAATATATGTCGACAGTGAATGAGCGACATGTTTGTGAGAGAGTACAATAATAATTGTTGAAACGCGACGACGATCCGACGATCTCTGAGGATGAGTGTCGCATTGCATCGTTACGTCATCAACAACGCCGCATCGTTATGAACAATTGTGAAAAGAAACGGTGGACTTTTACGGTGGTTCTTTCGCTAAACTATATACATTTCTGCAGGACTTTCTTAATAGATGCTTGTTGTGCCGAGCATGTGCCCGCTCGAGTGTTGTTGGGAAAGCAAAATTTGAGCATCTACGGTGCATCCCCGGCATTCTGCTAAAAAAGAAGAAAGAAAAGAACAGAGAGAGAGAGAGAGAGAGAGAGCATGATAACATTTACTGTTAGGTTTCACTTGGTTTTATTATGCGCCATCAACGTAACACATACCTGGCCTGGCGTATAAAGAGCCGCGCTATTGTCTATTATTGTAATGATATAATTGTAATAATAATGCTCAAGCATATCGACGCACGAGTCGTGCGCATGGAAGAAGCAAAGTCAACAACAAAAAATTAAATAACTGCCCAAGCGGCGAGGGAAGGAAGAAGGGTCGGGAGGGGGAGGGGGAGGGGGGGCGGCGGAAGAGGGAGAGAGACAGAAAGGAAGTGAGTCGTACGCATGGTTTAACCATAATACGGAATAACCGAGTTATCTCTCACTGCGGGATCTTCCGACAAAACGATCGCTCGAATGTCCAGGATATTGCAGTCCATTGAAGTCCATAGGAAGTCCATTAAATAATGAACGCGCGGGACGAAGACGCGCATGTGCGCTACGCGATCGCGTCCGCGTATCGCGGAAATCGCGTTTAATGCACGATACAATCGGGATAAGATCGCGCGAACGCTGGAGTAATCGCGACGTAAGGACGTTATATATACGGAATGCATCGTATGTACGGCTCGTATGTATCTCTCTGTTCGACGTATACGCATTATACGGTTGTTAAGCAACTTGGACGGATGTATCCCTATCGCGAGTGAATTTTTACGATATGACACGCACCGAGCGTGATCGAAGCTGTGTGCTTTCTTTACTTTTCGTTAGATTGTCGTAGGGACAAAGCGAGATAAAAGTATCGATACCAGAATGGCCGCGGGATTGCCGCGTCTAACTCTGGATGTACTTGGCGTTTTGGCTCTGTTAAGTTCCAACATTCAAACTTTCAACGTACGCGTACCTATGTTCTATGTCGGATATGTTTGTACGCGTACGCATTGGTCCATTACGTGTACGTGAGTGCTCGGGCACATTTTTATCTCAATTATTTTTATCTCAATTGTGTGAAAATGTATATCGTGGGCTGGTATATCCACGCGAGCACGGTGACGCTTTTACGAGAAGTAAAGGCTGTTGCGCCTTTACTTTGGTGTACGTCGCCTCTCGCGTATTATAGTAGGCGGAGGATGCTATGCGAAGCGCTATATTAAATCGTTAACGGGGCATTCTACATGGGCAGAAATAATGCGTAGGCCGTGTTCAGGCAGTATTTAAGACCACGGCGAGAGAAACGGGGGGGGGAGGGAGAGGGGGGAGAGAGAGAGAGAGAGAGAGAGAGAGAGGCAAGGAGAAGAGAGCATGTAACATAATTTCCTGAAGTCTCTCATGGTCGCTCTTTTTGGCCCAACCGCGCGCGTATAGCGTTTATCCGCAGAATTCTCTGTCGAAACCTTAATTACTTCCGGTTGACCGTCGGGCAGATATCTACCGTGCTGTTCCGCGCGCCGGTCTCGGTCCAGCGCTCGTCGGGTCAACAGCACACGGGATTTACGGCGCTCGTTCCATACCGGATCGCATAATATATAACAAATTATAAAATCGGATTGTACAGTTAAGGATATGCCTGGTGTCCGAGGGCGCGGTCGCCATCCGTTTTCGAGTATCGAGGAAATGCATCGAGGCGCGCGCGCTTTATTACGCGGGTCTCCGGATCGGCGACCGCGGCCAGCGCGTTGCGAGTTAATGCGTTATTTATCGACCCTGCAAATTATACTGCAAATTGGTAACCAGCAAGTCGGAGGGTGGGGGACACGACGCGCGAGAAGAGAAGCGCATATCAGATATCGTGGATTCGAAGCTACGTTTCCTCCTGCGACTCGTCATTCTCGTTCGATAAAGCACACGCGTCGCGCACGCTCGATCGATCGCAACGATCGAGGTTCTTCGCGTTTCGTTCGGAAATCAGGACACGGTCGCGCGTGTGCGTGCACGTGCGAATACGCTACGCGGATGAGCGAGTAAAACGGGTTTACGAGTAGCTGTAATTACGGTGATTACGATTTATCGATCGACCGACGCCGCTTAATGACTTGCGGCCCGTCGTACATCAATGCACGAAGGTGCGATATCTAAATTGAATTCACCGGGCGCGTAAGCGTCGTCGCTGATGGGCTTCAAAGTTCTCTCTCTCTCTCTCTCTCTCTCTCTCTCTCTCTCTCTCTCTCTCTCTCTCTCTGCTTCTCTGCGAAAAGACCGAAAGTGTAACACAGCGCTTACACAGTCGCTGTTTCGTCCGTGCGCTCGCCAGAGAATCGATCGTACCGCGTTGCCCTGTAACCCGCTCTGCCTATCGATCATTTGAGTTTTTAATTTCGCCGCTCGATGCGCCGCACCTACCTCCCTTCATCATTTCCGCCATATTACCGGCACCACCACCACGATAACGCTCGACGGAATAATAATTGAAAAAAGTCAGAAGAAGAAAGAGCTCTTCGTGGCTTGGCAAAGTTTCCATTCGCGAGATATTTCGTGCGCTTAATGAACTACGAGACAACCTTGCGTTCCCCATCGACACTCTGTAATTAGCCTCTGCGTGAGAGACGGTAATTGCTTCAGTCGCCGAGAACTCGTGCGAATTTGTCAGTATTTATCTTTCGCTTTGCGATAATCGTTGTCGAAAGTGCACATACATTTCGCAAAGCGTCAACGACTTGTTCGGGGTCACTTGCAAACGGGAACGTCTTTGTTACAAACGAGACCGTCCGGTGATGATTTAACTCATCAGCTATTATCGAAAGCAATCAGACTCTCTTCAGATTGGAAAAAAAACGTGAGATATTCGTCGCCTCGACAGCCCCATCGGCTCCGGTGTGATGCTATTGAACAAATAGTTACTCGTTACATTGGCTGCATGATCTTTTCGTGACGCGCGCGCGCACGAGAGAGAGAGAGATTCGATCGCGGTCTGTTCGTGCAGACAACCGAGCAAGTAGTTGTTCGTAGTTGCTCTGCCATCACGATTAAATGAATCAATTATACCAATAAGCAGCTAACGTCTGGATAAGCGGCGATCGGCAATTGGCGAACAATGCAGATCGAATTATATGACCGTAGAAACTACGGGTCGCGCGCGTGCATGCACGCGCGGTAGGATGCACAATGAATGTGCTCGGATAGGGAAGGGAGGAAGAAGAGAAGACGACGGTGACGGCGGTGGGAGGAGGAGAATGAGAAGGAGAGAAGAAACGAGAGAGAGAGAGAGAGAGAGAGAGAGAGAGAGAGAGAGAGAGAGAGAGAGAGACGAGAGAGGAAAGCATATGCGGGTCGGTGAACCGCGGCAAGGATGCACCGGTCGGGTGGATGCTGCTCTTGGCATTTTTGTCCTCGAAACGAGAGCCCGAGGAAGGGACGAACGTGGTTGGTGGAGTAGCTCGCGCGCGCTCGCGCGCGCACGTACCAGTCGAGATCGATAACGGCTGAAATAAAGATCGGTTTAACGAACCGAAACGATTTCGTATAGTCGCGCGCGAATGTGCCGCGCGGCTCGTAAGTAAAACGATTAATGTCGAGTGTGTCATCCTTTGTTCTTACTTCCTTCGTGATCGATATCGGCGAGTCGACGGTAGAAGAAGGAGGAGAATCAGCTGACCGGACATAGTGACCATTCTCGACGGCGGATACGAAACTCTTTGCGCGCCTTGTGAAATTCATTTCACCGACGACACCGGCTTACTTTCTCTCCCTGTCGTCTCTTCCTCTCTCAGCTTTATATCTATTCGCTTCATCCATCGATGGATCTTTTCATTCGCAACGCGATTATTATTCAGCTCCTCGGTCGGTTCCTCCTTCTGGCAAATACTCGGGGGAAATTGGTGTCGTATCGTATCGCACACGCGCTCGCACGCTTGATGGATGCATCTCGGTGCTGTGTCGCGCGCGAAAACCAGAAATAGAAGTGAAACCAGGCAAGACGAACAAGCTCGCGCGCCGGTCGTAATTGATGGCGGAGCGATCGCGCATATTACGCGGCTACAAGTTCGCGCAGTATGCGGCACGCGTTTACTATGCACCGGCTACGCGCATGAATCGGACTCGCACGCACGCACGCACGACATGCTCGCTAGTCCGCGGAGTTATGTAGTAATCGCGGCCTCCTCTCGAATCCGCTCGAATCCTTCGGCAACGAACGCTCGTTAAGAAGCGTGACAAATTGAAGGAAGCGTTGACCGCGTGTGTGCCTCACGGCGACCGTTCGACTAAATAGATTTTACCATTTTTAACGACACAATTACCGGGCGTGCCGCACGCATCCCGTTATCCGTTATCCCGTGCGCGAGCTATTTCGACAAGTTAAGATCTGTTCGCGGAGAAATCGAGTCCGTTCCTGGATTGATTTATTGGAGCCTTATGCAATGATTAAACGGTCGACGTGATAATGATAAGATAATCGTCGGCCACAACGTCGGTTGACAACGGCACCGAGCGCACGGCACCGAATCGCAGTCGAAATTATCCTTGTCCCTCCTCGTTCCGCGTTTCTGCTCACGTCGCTTATTGCACGGGCGTGCGAGATTGGAACTCGACGATTCATTCCGGTCACTATGCGGGACGCGGAAAAGAGTCTCCCTCGGCCAAGTGGAAGAGAGATCGCGCTCCTCGTGCGCGCGCTTACTTTATACGTCAGGAGGAAAATATG